CCATCCAACCATCCATCCATCCACCATCCCTCCATCCATCCATCCAACCATCCATCCATCCATCTAGCCATCCAACCATCCATCTATCCACCATCCATCCATCCACCATCCATCCATCCATCTATCCATCCATCTACCTGAACATCCATCCATCCATCTATCCACCATCCATCCATCCAACCATCCATCCACCATCCATCCATCCATCCATCCATCCATCCAGCCATCCATCCAGCCATCCATCCATCCATCTACCTGAACATCTATCCACCATCCATCCACCATCCCTCCATCCATCCATCCAACCATCCATCCACCATCCATCCATCCATCCATCCATCCATCCATCTATCCATCCAACTAATCCAACCGTCCATCCATCCATCCATCTACCTGAACACCCATCCATCCATCTATCCACCATCCATCCACCATCCCTCCATCCATCGATCCATCCATCCATCCATCCATCCATCCATCCATCCATCCAACCATCCATCCATCCCTCCATCCATGCATCCATCCATCCATCTATCTATCCAACCATCCACCTGAACATCCATCCATCCATCCATCCATCCATCACACCATCCATCCATCCATCACACCATCCATCCATCCATCCATCCATCCACCTGAACATCCATCCATCTATTCAACCATCCATCCATCCATCCATCCATCCATCCATCCACCTGAACATCCATCCATCTATTCAACCATCCATCCATCCATCCACCTGAACATCCATCTATCCATCCAACCATCCATCCATGCACCTGAACATCCTTCTATCCATCCAACCATCCATCCATTCACCTGAACATCCATCCATCCATTCAACCATCCAACCATCCACCTGAGCATCCATCCATCCATCTATCCATCCACCTGAACATCCATCCATCCAACCATCCATCCATCCCTCGATCCACCAATTAGTCTGTCTGGGGGAGGGGGCTGGGGTTGCATCTTTGGTGGTTGGTGTCTCTGGTGGTTTGTCAGTGGTAGTTTTGAGTAAAAGTGGTAGTTTAAGGTCTTTGTGGTAGTTTAATGTTTGTTTGTAGTAGTTTGGTGCTTGTTTGTGGTAGTTTAGTGTCTTTGTGGTAGTTTAGCCTTTGTTTGTGGTAGTTCAGTGTGTTTTTCTGGGAGTGTGGGGTCTGTGTGGTAGTTTCGAGTCTTTGTGGTAATTTAGTTTTTATTTGTGGCAGTTATGTGTTTATTTGTGGTAGTTTAGTGCTTCTTTGTGGTAGTTTAGGGTCTTTGTGGTCGTTTAGCCTTTGTGGTAGTTCGGTGTGTTTTTTCTGGTAGTTTGGGGTCTATGTAGTAGTTTAGGGTCTTTGTGGTAATTTAGCGTAAATGTGGTAGTTTAGTGTTTGTTTGTGGTAGTTTAGAATAAATGTGGTAGGTTAGTGTTTGTTTCGGGTAATTTAGTGTTTGTGGTGGTTATGTGTTTGTTTTCGGTAGTTTAGTGCTTCTTTGTGGTAGTTTAGGGTCTATGTGGTCGTTTAGCCTTTGTTTGTGGTAGTTGAGTGGGTTTTTTTTCGGTAGTTTGGGTCTGTGTGGTAGTTTAGAGTAAATGTGATAGGTTAGTGTTTGTTTCGGGTAGTTTGCTTTGTCAGGTCCTGTCCGTGAAGCAACCCGTTCTCACTCCCAAAGCGTAACATTTTACGCTAGGTGACAAATCGTCACATATTACGTTTTCGGCTACCCACCACGTTCCTAAATGACGACCTCGGAAAAAGAGGAAATATGAGAACCGTCTGGACTGAATCTACACATGTTCGCTCTTTTTCTTCAAATCGCTTAGAAACACGCTATTTAACATCATTAAAGTCCTGGTTAAGGTCAGGAATAAGGTTATGGTCAGGGCTAGGGATAAGGTTAGGTTTAGGGCTGGAATACAGGGCTGGAACGTCTATTACCGCGGGAGCGTCATTGCACTGGATTCCAGCCATAACCCGCCGCGTACCATAAGAACGCCGAAGGTCTCCTTTCGCGTTCCTCAGGAACGCCGCGGGACGTGACAAAACGTCGACATGCTTACGCCTCGGGAGTGAGAACGCTCTGCGTGAAGTCACCGTGTACAATTACACAGTGATATAACTTCTACGACTGAGCTAACGAGAAGCTGCTTCAGTGTTTGCTGCTGTGAGTGATGAGGTAACAGCTGATAATCTTCACAGGGTTACACAGCTCTTCACCTGGCCTCCATTCACGGACACCAGGACGTCGTTCAGACCCTGATCAACACTCAGAGTGAGTCTGCCTTCACCACCTCTCTTCATCACAGTGTTCAGTATCATTAATGTAATTCATTATTATTTTAATAACTGATGAAGGCCACAGTCGCACTGCACTCTGCAGCCGCGCCATTCTTGTCTCTAATATTTGATGAAGACGAGCTTGATGCTGACGAGGAGACGTTGTTTATCATTTGGAATATTAAAAAGCAGCATGAAAATTACACATTTACTAAGACTGATCTCATCTCAGCTTCATTTTCCCAGATCGTTATTGCAGCACCCAGCTCTGCATGCAGACTTTTTAAAATTGTCTGTCGGTTTATGTGCAGATTAAAGTTAAAACAGCAGAAGTTAGAGCAGCGGCTAACAGTCAGACCAAAGATCACAATGACCTGTCCTTAAGCTGCAGCTTCGTGTCCGGACTGTTTTTCCACTGAAGCAGGATTCATGTGAGGATATTTCTTCGTGTGAAGTTTTCAAATTGACATTCACACCACAAATCAAACAGCGAGGGATTGTTCTCCTGCACGCCTCACAGGCTGGCAGAGGTGAAGAAGCACTGATGCAGATCACCTCTGCCAGACAAAAGACCTACCCAGCGCTCAGATTGACAAGTCCAAATACTCACCTCCGCCCTCCTCCTCAGGAAGAGGAGAGGCGGGCAGTTCGCTAATGAGCTAATGAGGCACACCTGCGCTTCAGGCCACCAGGCGCTTCATGATGGACTTGTGACGATCCCTGCGGAGCAGCGGTTTGAACCCCTGTAGCCGCAGACTGCCATATGCTGTGAGTCGGAGCGCGCAAACGGCCGCCGACATGTACGGTCTGCAGGGTCAGACACGAAGCATGTTTCCATATGGCCACGGAGGAGAACCCGCCAAAATAAAACGCAGCAGGAAATCAGCAGATCTGAGCTGCCAATCAAACGGTTTCAGTTCAAACTGTATTCACGTGAAGCTCCACCTGCTGCAGCTTCTGACCCACGCCGGTGGCTCGGATATAAACGGGTCTCCAGCCTTCTCCCAGATTCCTTAAGGACTTTGTCGTTTCTGTGCCAGGGAAGATGAGACGATGAGTTTGCATGTTTTCGAATTTAGCATGCAGAGTTCACAGACTCCTGAGACGATGCAGAAGCCAAACTGTGCAGGACGTCAGTGAGAGCTCCTGAAAATCACACCAGAAAGCAGCTGGAAACCAGGGAAATTACAGCAGCCGGACTCAGCTGGTGCTCCGAGTGCAGATATGGTTTCAGGAAAAGGCCTCCTCGCTGCCGTGGAGGCGAGCTTTGGTTTCTCCTTCTGAGGCCGGTGGGTGGAGCGACAGTGGGAGTTAAACAGTCTGTAATGACCAGAGTCGGTTACCAGCGGTAACCATTAGCTGCTGCGTTCAGCCTCCAGCCTCCACAAAAGGGATATCACCGTGAGCCGCATGTGTCCTGATTGAACTTCCCCAAGTTTTAAATGTGGCATCAAACAGTAAAGTTCAGCAGGAATATTCATCCCACAGCAAAAAGCCTGCAGGAGAGCGTTGGTGCAAACACGACACACAGGGCATTCATCACCTGATTTTTGGTACCCTGGTGCTGAAGCCTGCCCAGGCTCTGCTTCAGCGACACCAAAGGGGTGAAACATGATGTGAAACATATGAAATGTTCCACTCTGAGCTCTGGGAAGATGTATGTTTTGATCCCTGTTCAAAATCCAATTTTAAAAACACTTCCGACTAAAGAGTCAGGATGGAAACAGAGTGATAGATGTGAGCGACACGAGAAACTTCAACAGGCAACACGTGGCAATCGTGGTTCAAGAGTTGGGAGTTCGTCTTGTAATCAGAAGGTTGCCGGTTCGAGCCCCGGCTGGGACAGTCTCGGTCGTTGTGTCCTTGGGCAAGACACTTCACCCGTTGCCGCCTGGTGGTGGTCAGAGGGCCCGGTGGCGCCAGTGTCCGGCAGCCTCGCCTCTGTCAGTGCGCCCCAGGGTGGCTGTGGCTACAATGTAGCTTGCCATCACCAGTGTGTGAATGTGTGGATGACTGGATGTGTAAAGCGCTTTGGGGTCCTTAGGGACTAGAAAAGCGATATACAATACAGCCATTTAGCATTTACATGTGAAAGCTTAACACCCGAACACAGCGAGCTGTCAGTTCTCTGTTTAAGGATGACTGACAGCGTGTGTGAATGTGAGAGTGAATGAATAGTGGAATTGTAAAGTGCTTTGGGTGCCTAGAAAAGCGCTATATAAATGCAATCCATTATTATTATTATTAATCTCCAATGATCACCCACCGCCTTCCCGAGGCCTCCTATCTGTGGAGATCACAGAGATCCAAACTGCTTCCTCCTGGAGACACCTTTCAGAAAAATCATGTTTAAAAAAGTTTCACTAAAGACCTTCAGCCAGAGACTTTACTCTTCTCTATCCATCATCCATCATCCATCTGTCCATCCATCATCCATCTGTCCATCCATCCATCCTATCCATCCATTCATATCGTCCATCCATCATCCATCGCTATCCATCCATCATCCATGTCCATCCATCCATCGTCCATCCATCATGCATCTGTCCATCCATCATCCATCTGTCATCATCCATCTGTCATCCATCTCCATCCATCATCCATCTGTCTATCCATCATCCATCTGTCTATCCATCCATCCATCATCCATCTGTCTATCCATCATCCATCTGTCTATCCATCCATCCATCATCCATCTGATCTGTCCATCCATCATCCATCTGTCTACTCCATCCATCCATCCATCCATCCATCATCTCTCATCCATCATCATCTGTCTATCCATTTCCATCTCTATCCATCATCCATCATCCTGATCCATCATCATCATCCATCCAGTCCATCATCCATCTCCATCTCATCCATCACTCTGTCTATCCATCCATCCATCCATCGTCATCTGCATCCATCATCCATCTCATCCATCATCCATCATCCATCGCCATCCATCCATCCGTCATCATCCATCCATCATGCATCTGTCCATCCATCATCCATCATCGTCATCCATCCATCATCCATCTGTCCATCCATCATCCATCTCATCCATCCATCCACATCCATCCATGCCATATCATCTGTCCATCCATCATCCATCTGTCCATCTCATGCCACCTCCATCATCCATCTGTCTATCCATCCATCCATCTCCATCCATCATCCATCTTCCATCCATCTCCATCTGTCCATCATCCATCCATCAGTCATCATCCATCCATACGTCCATCCATTTCCAGTCCATCCATCATCCATCCATCCATCCATCCATCCATCATCCGTCTGTCATAAATCCATCCATCCATCCAATCATCCATCATCCACCCATTATTCATCCATCGATCCATCCACCCATCCATCTGTCATCATCCATCCATCCATCCATCCATCCATCCATCCATCATCATCCATCCATCCATCCATCCATGTCCATCCATCCTCTATCTGTCCATCCATCCATCCATCCATCCATCCATCTCATCCTGTCCATCCATCATCCATCTGTCCATCCATCCATCCATCTGTCCATCCATCATCCATCTGTCCATCCATCCATCATCCATCATGTCCATCCATCCATCTGTCAGCCATCATCCATCTGTCATCCATCCATATCCATCGTCATCCATCATCCATCTGTCATCCATCCATCCATCTGTCATCCATCATCCATCTGTCATCCATCCATCCATCTGTCATCCATCATACATCCTCCATCCATCCATCATCCATCTGTCAATCCATCATCCATCTGTCTATCCATCCATCCATCATCCATCTGTCCATCCATCATCCATCTCTATCCATCATCCATATCCATCTGTCCATCATCATCCATCTGTCTATCCATCCATCCATCATCATCTATCCATCCATCATCCATCTTCCATCCATCCATCATCCATCCATCATCCATCCATCCATCATCCATCTCATCATCCATCCATCATACATCCATCATCCATCATCATCATCCATCCATCCATCATCCATCGTCCATCCATCCATCATCCATCGTCCATCCATCCATCATCCATCTGTCCATCCATCATCCATCTGTCTATCCATCTATCCCTCGCTCCTTCTGTCCATCCGTCCATTTTGTGGATGTAAGGTCCCACAGACTCTGAGCTGTGAGGAAGTCACATTTAAAAGTGAGAAACTTTGCGAGAGAATTGCACATCTCATTTCCTAGTGATCCAGATACTGAAGGAAAAACAAACCTTTACTATCCGTGACGTTCCTGTCAGAGATGCATATTTCTGTCTTTTAGTTGATGAAACAAATGCTGAATGATGACCCCAGAATAAGCAGTTTTTATCTCCTGCTGGGCAGCGTCAGCACACAGACAGCTTCCTGTCAGTCTGTCACATAAAAGCCAATAATAAACTGAGATGTCTTTCATTAGAGATCAGGCCAAACCGCCGTGCCCCGAGCTGTAAATATGAAGACAAAGGCTTAAACAGAACATTTCACTTGACAGGAAATGCAGGGATACAGGTTGACATCCTTTCCTGTGTCTGCGCGACTCTCTGAAGTGTCCTCCTGTGAATTTAAACCTGAGTTTAGGATTCACTGATGGAGATGTACCTCTCGATATGTTTCCGGCGTCTCCTTGAACCCTGCAAAGACGACCTCTGAATGTTCACTCCTGTCAGTCTGACTCCATCGACTCAAACAGAATCCATACACAACGCCAATACGATATGATTTTAATCCAGAGGAAACTGTCGTGTTTTGTCTTAATCAGATGCTAAAACCAACATCAGAGATTACCACGGGAAGACGGCCGTTCAGTACTGGAGCGGCAGCGCCGACATCTTTGAGAAACCCGAGTCTCAGTCAGGTCTGTTCAACAACTTTTTTTATGTTTTCATTACCAGAACCATGCTGCATGGGCTACGGAAGCCCATCTGTGCCAGTGAAGTTACTCTGTACCAGGCTCTCAAACTCGTGGCTCAGGGGCCGCAAGTGGCCCACATCACCCAGACATGCGGCCCATACACTGACGTGAAGAAATCGAATGCAGTTTGGTTTTTGAAATGACTTTTTGTTATAATTTGAAATTCTTATATTTAATGTCCAAAAAGCTTTAAAGTCATCACAGAGAACAGAAGCTTCTGGATTATTATTATTAACTGTTACTCATTAGTGAAGTTTTCTCTCCTGTTCTCTGTAGTCACCGCGTTTTGTCGTTCTTTTCATTTACAAAATAAAGATGGAAACTCTATAACGCCAAAGGAAGCAAATCTGTATTTCACAATAAAAGCATGACCTACAGTCTGTGGAGTCAGTAATTATTGTTTCAGTGTCATTAGCAAAGATATTTTCAGACCTTTGCTAATCTGAGAGCGACTGCAGCGGCCGTGCTGGTCGCAGAGAGGCTGTTTCACGCTCTCCGTGTGGGCGAGCGGCCGGCGTCGGTGCATTTCCCCTCACAGAGAGTTTCTTCTGTGTGCGGAGCCAGTCAAAGCTCGGTGTTTCTGGTTGCAGATGGATCCGTCTGCTGCTCGATCACAGAGACAGTATAACAGGAGGGTTTAGATCTGTGCTTCAGTCAAAGTTTGACCTCAGTCGTGTGTTTTGTTCTTTGCAGGCGGGAGGTGTGTTCGCCGTCAGCGGACGCAGCGTTACGCTCTGCCGTCCTTCCTGCTGTCTCGCTCTCGCAGTCAGGGACAGCTCAACCTGGAGTTCAGGACACCGCCTCAGTCCTCCTCCCACGACGCCTTGGACCTCCATGTTTAAAGCTGATCGCCCTGCCTGAAACCCGGTGACCCGCTCTGTCCCCGTTTGGGCCACGCAGGGTTTCTGGGCTTGGAGCCACAGATGGCAAAGATGGCCGCAGGAGGTGGATGTGAGCTGTGTCACTTTTAAAGAGCAGACTCAGACCTGAACACAAGGCGGGCCTCATTTTAAAGCCAAGGTTCATCAAGCAGAGGTGTCAAACATAGGGCCCGCGGGCCAGAATTGGCCTTGCAAAGATCCAAGGACGACATGAAGTTTGCTGATGAAGACCTGCCTCAAGTGATGAAGAACAGATAAAGAATTACATTTTTTTCACTCTCGACTGTAATAATGTGTTTTTATAGAAAAATAAAAACAGACGTTTTCTGTGAATCAACAGAAATATTCAATCTGAGCAGCGAGCCACAGAACCGCTCTGATGTTACACGTTTCTTTCTCTTCATGTAGAAAATCTTCTTATTCACATATCTCAGGGATTAAGTGTGTGGAGTTTCACCAGGATGCATGTGTCCCACCGTGTTGAATCACTTTGACTTTTGCTGCTTTAAAGCAGGGGTGGGGAACTCCAGGCCTCGAGGGCCGGTGTCCTGCAAGTGGCTAAATGACCTCAACATGTCTCAGAGTTCTCCAGAGGCCTGGTAATGAACTAATCATGTGATTCAGGTGTGCTGACCGAGGTTGAGATCTAAAACCTGCAGGGTGGAGTTCCCCACCCCTCCTTTAAAGGAACCAAAGGCAAAATAATCCAGAGGTGTAGAATTCCAGGAACTAGGCACTAGGAAGTGCAGATGCTTCCAGACTGTGCTCAAAACACCCGCATCGTGTGACCACGGTTAGTCCCGACAGGTGGCTTTTACCTGGAGCAGAGCTGGAGAGTACCTGTGTGTTTTCACCCAATAAAAATGTCTCGATATGACCTGTTTGAACTCTGTTCCTCCATTTTCTCTCAGAGAGCTTCGGTCCAAACACCCTCCTTCATTTGATCTTATAAACTGGTTTGCTGTGCATCGCTAACGCTGTAGCGGTTTACTGGTGTTGGAGGGCCGTTGTGAACGTGGCGCTGAAGTCGTTTAAAGGAAGCCGTTAGCGCCGGCTCTGTCAGACACGCCTCACCCTCTCACTCTCTTTCACCCTCATAAATGTCTTCATTAGCTTCCGCTCCATTGGCCGGCTCATGGCGTTAAACTCATTATCTGCTTTAATAAGGCGGCGTTTGTGTAAGCGATAAGCAGTAAATGAGCGGGCTGGCGGAGGACACGCTCGACACTAATAACACTCGGAGTGAAATTAGCTGTGACTAAACAAGGGGCGGGGCTAGGCGAGCAGCGAGAGGATCACGTGATGCGTCACAGAAACACCTTAGGGGTGTGACTTCTGGACCCCTGCTAAGGGGCGGGGCCCGGAGCTTGGAACAGATGACCATATAAGGAAATGTGCAATGAGCTGCTTTGAAAGAATGAGCAGTTATTTTTGAGGGTGTGTGCAGATGGCTTCCACCACACCGCTGTGTGCTCAGTATGAAGGCGTGCACCGCTGTCTCCTTTGATGATGTCAGCTGTATTTTTAGGCTTCTGATTGGCTGCAAGCTGAAAAAAACCATTTCATCGTAGTGTCGCTGCTGCTGGTGTCATCGCAGTGATGTTCAGATAAGTTTAAAACAAAGTGGACGACACAGCGATGGACACGTGCACCACCTTCCATAATCCCTGATATTTCAGCCTGTCTTGTGCACGGTGTAAGAGCACGTTCGGTTTATCGGCAGCTGACAGAAATCTTCGCACTGTGACGTCATTGCTACCCTCCATCTTCCTCACGCCGCTGCTGCAGTGCGCACTGACAGCGCTGTACCCCCGTCCTGATGTTAATACTAAAGAGTGTCCTTTATTTAAAAGTGCTCCAAACCTCACGGCCCTGCGTGCCGGAGTCAGTATGAAATCATGAAATCACTGTGATTAATCACAAAGAGCTGAGTTCAGTTTCACTGCCGCACTCAGATCACTGACAGATGTCAAACAGCCTCACGCCACCATCTAACAAAGTCAGTGACATCATCAGCCCGAAAGGTCACAGAGACAAAGGCTTCGGGACTGCGGTGAACCACGGAGAGAGCCACACGTGGAACAGCGCTGAGGTTTCCCAGGAGCGCCATCGCCGAGTGTCAAACATACCCCTAACATGTGACCCGTTTTACAGGCGTGGGTTTCTGCTCAGAGTGGGTGTAGCTCCACGCAGACGCCTGCCCGCGGACTGATTTATGTCCTCCATCCAGATGTTGCTGAGAGAAAAGAGAAAGTGACACAGACACTCACGTCCCACCTCTGAGACACCGACCTCTGACCCCTGTCTTTTCCCACTCTTCTCACAAAGCCGGTTGAGAGAACACGTCTGCGCTGTGGTGATGACCTCGGGCCCGATAATAGAAGCAGAGCCGTTAACTCGCCGTCGGCTCATTGTTGGGCCCACAGTGCCTGTTGCCATGACGGCTGTTCAGTCGGAAATGAGGCCTAACGAGCTAAGCGTCCACATCAAAGACTCGCACGCAGATGGCGAGCAGCGGCGCCGCCTGCAGCCCGTCAGGACAGGAGGTTAAACTCAGGCGTGGACTAAAGAAAGAATAGTTTTCTCACTCTGCAGATCCTCGCAGAGCAAACAGAAACATATCTAAAAGTTTTCATCTCAGCAAATATTCAGGATTTTAATTTTGAAGGCTTTTCATGAACTTCTTCAAACGTGAGATTTGTCTCTGATTATAACATTCACACTAGGGGTGGGTTTTTATAATCGATTCATCGATTAAAATTGATTCTGGCTTGGATAACGTAAAATCGATTCATTAAAATCCTGAATCGATTCATTAAAATCCTGAATCGATTTTTTTAATATAAATTTATTTTGCCCGAAATGCCAGAATCTCTGGTGACATCTCACAAAATTTCAAGAACCACCAAACAGCTAAGACAGTAAATGAGAGCAGGTACACGGATTCTGCATATAGACGTAAACACACAGCGCGACCCGCGGATCAGAATCAGTGAGATGTCGCCTTTCTCACGGTCGGGGCTGAAAGCCGACAGCTCGCTGACTCCGATGTTTCGGCGGGTCGGCGCTGTGTGTTCACGCCCTTTATGAGCCGATTCAGAAGCTGTTAGTTTGATCTCTCCCCAAACAATATTGACCGAACCAGCAGCAGAAGAAGATCCAAACGCTTCACATAAACATCGTCATGAATTCACTCTGACTTTCACTGTTTTGCTTCCACCGCGATGCACAGCTCTCTCTCTCTCTGTACTTCAAGAACAGTTTCCTGTCTTCATTATTCGCTTGCTTGTTACGCACCAGTCTACTGTTGTTTACAGGCTGTCAGTCGCTGTTTTTTTCCCTTTTACATTCTTCCGAAAATAAAACCTCATTTCTGCTGTTCAATACTGAACAAATTTAAACTTTTTAAAATTATTCAAAATGCAAAACGCCGTGTCTCTAATAAACCCGCTGTAACTTCAGAGGTGATGTTCATGTGTTGATTAATGGTTTTCTTTCGTTTTTCATGTACTGCAGAATATTTTTATAAAATCCCAGAACAGGAAAATCTCCTTCATGTGTTTCTGTGTTTTATCTTCAGCTACTTTGACACAAAGGCCTCTGCTGTGATGCTCACATCTTTGATAAAGTCTGGAAAGTGTCAGCTTCCTTTTTATAGATACAAAAATATGTAAATGTACTGATCTGAATGATAATATTTCTGACTGTCAAAATTTCCCAGATTTAAATCGAATCGAATCGAATTAAATCGAATTAAATCGAATCGTGGATCGAATCAATTCTAGAAATCAGTGACGATACCCAGCCCTAAGTCACACGTCACCTCAGCAGGCCCGAGAGCGGCTGCAGGAGAGTCCGACTCCAGGAAGTGTAAAGAAATGAGGGCTGGCTCGAGACTTTTGCACAGAGACTCTTTATTTCAGCTGAATTCAGTTATAATGTCTCTGCAGCTCGCTGACGTGCCTCACGGCTCGTCTCACGTCTCCGCCGTCGGTGGCATTCTCGCCTCCGTCAGCGAGCTGCGCCCGGCTGCTGTCAGTCAGCGGCTGCTGGAGTCGTGTTTCCTGCTGTAAAGATGCCCAGCAGGCCTGCAGGGAGCCAGAAGCAAGGCTCTTAATGAGCTGCGGCCCTGATTAAAGAGGCCGGCCGCCATTGCCGCTCGCTGTGACGGGAGGAAGCCAGCTGGCAGAGACGTAGCATCGGGCGCCGCAGGAGAAAATGACACTTTCAGAGAATAACTTTCCACACAGAGCAGCGGTACTCGATGTATGAGTGCTCACAGTGCTCCACAGCCACCTGGAAACGAATCGGAAACATGATGCTGAAAATCTTCATCATAGAGCTAAAGTTAAACTTTGATCCGTCAAAGATGGGACCCCAACAGGAAGTCCCCATTGTAGGCCATGTTTGTCACTCCAGATGTTCTGTTTAAGCAAACCTACAGATTTAATCTTGAACGTGGTGTCCACGCACATACGCCAGTCCGGTAGCTGTAGGCATGGCGCCACCTGATGGCAGCAGAAACATCATGTTTTGTACTTTGTCCCGTTCTGCTGCGATGCTGGACTTTTGCTTTGTTCTGTGTGTGTTGAGTCCTCCCACAGCGTGTGCTGCACCACGATCACTGATGACAGATTTAAGTGTATATTTGGTGGGATGAGACAGATTCACACAATTCATTCACTGAAGTCAGTCACGCCTGCAGTGAGCTTCTGACCTCAGCCGTACGTCAGGGGTGGAGATGTCTACTGTGTGCATGTACTCAGCATTAGTTGATAAACACGTGACATACAGCAACATTACCAGGTGCTCTCTAACACCACATAGTGGCCACAGCAGGTGTAACAGGCTGTCGGTGGTCCCGACAGCGTTGCCCTGGAAGTGGTTCCCATCACAGAGCTCTAATGGTTCCCAAATCCAGGTGCTCCACGGAGCCGTAAACGCTGATAGGAGACGAAACGGCTCCATTACCGCTCGGCCTCTCAGCTTAACGCTCTGTTTTAAGCCACTCCGGTTTTTAACCGCTGACTGACAGACGAGGCGGGGGGCATCACGGCGTCACGGAGCCAAACTCAGGGAGGTGCAACTGAGACAAGCAGATGGTCTCTGCCCTCAACACTCACCGTGACTCTGAAGACGTACCGGGACACTTCAGGGTACAAGCAGCTCCAAATCAAACAAAGAGTGTGATAAGAAGCTTCAGTAAAATGATCCGTGTGGCCGTTCTTCCAGGAGACCAATGATCATGTAAGAAACTGCATTTACTCCAAATCCATTAAAGCTGCAAGAGTGTGCAGAATTCTGGCTTCCAGTCGAGGGAGTCACCGTGACACCGAACTGTACGACCAAAACACTTCCTGTAGCATTTATTCTCCTCACTTCCTGTCATGTGGTGTCTTTTCATGTTAAACATGTCCAAGTTTCTAACAATGAGCTCAGTCTATAAACAGTCATCTCTGAGCCAAACTGAACCCTCAGTTTATCACAGTTTTTTCTGCTTTTTGATCTGTATGATGTCATAGAGAGTCTATTCTTCTATATATTTGGCCAGCAGAGGAAGGGGGGAGCT